TAGAAATATACAGGAAATGTTTTTAGTTAGGAACTGAACACAATAAGCATAAATCTGGGATGTGTACATCACTGTGAATCAATTGCTTTCACAAAGTGTTTGTATTGTAATACCTGTTCTGAATGTCTTGCCCCTGATAAATTCCTCCATATTATTGTTTTAAATGAAAAAAAACTAAAATTGAAAAAAAACTAAACGGTAATAAACGCTCAACTGAAACGAGTAAACTCTGAAACTAAACTGAATTGAAAAATATAAAAAAACAAGCAAACAAATTTAAAACTACAAAATACACAATGAACAAACCCATCATTTCTAAATAAAGTTCTCTGATCAAAAACATCTCAATCTGAGAAACTCAGAAATGATAATAGAATTCAACACTGCTTACAGTATCACCAAATAGAGGCTACATTTCACTCAATTTATGTGCTAAATCATCCTTATGAAAAAGAACGGATTAAATGTAAAGTGTTGAGAAATGACAAATGTGTATGAGAACCTGGTGAGAATGACAGAGAGAAAGACATGACGATGGAATTGAGATATTATTTAAGACTATAGAGATCCTGATAGTTTGAAACCTGTAGTTAGAGAGCAAGACATTTTTCGAAATGAACTATAACGGCATTAAATGGTGTTGAGCTGACCATTTTCGTGGCTGTACAGGTTTTCACGCTGCCGAAAGTGAGCGCCAAGATGAAGTTGAAGCTGACGGCCACGGACGGCTCCAGAGTACGGAGAGTCGGCGTGGCCTGGTTCGGCAGCAGCCGGTCGGAGGACTACGGTGAGAGCGGCCTGGTGGTTCTGACCAATCAGGGTGACCTCCACGTGGTGTCGCTGCCAACAGTCAAGATGCAGGTTCAGTACCCCTGCATCCGCCGAGAGGACGTCAGCGGCATCGCTTCCTGCGTCTTCACCAAGCACGGCCAGGGTACGGGCATGCCTAAACACACATTTATCCTTTCTACTTGTTAGGAGCCTCTGATAACAGCGCAACTACAGGCCTTACACCAGCAGTTACTCTAATTTAAACCCTAAAATCTGAGGTCTGTTCTGAATTCTTCACCAACAGTAACACTTACTGCAGCAGCCCCTGTGACATACAAATGTGTTCCTCTGTTATCTGGACAGACAGACTGACAGTCACTATGATATTATTCTGATACTATATAGAAAAGGCTAAATAAACTCATGTATGTTACAATCAATAACGAATAACTCAGTTAAATCAGCTGAGATTAAAGCTGCAGTAGGTCATTTTTATAAAAAGAACTATTTCCATCATATTTGCTGAAACAAATGAGATGGATAATCTGTGAAAATAATCAGTGCTAGTGCTGAAAATAAATGATAAAAAATCCCCCAGGCCTGAATGAAAAAAGGCCAATCGGAGCCAAGAAAGATGGAAAGACCC